TAGAGGATATGCTTCGAGCTTGTGTTACTGACTTTGGAGGTTCGTGGGATCAGTTCTCGCCTTTAGCGGAGTTTGCCTACAACAACAGCTAGCAGTCGAGCATCCAGATGGCTCCTTATGAGGCTTTATATGGTAGGCGGTGTCGGTCTCCGGTTGGATGGTTTGAGCCAGGAGAGGCTCGGTTGTTGGGTACGGATTTGGTTCAGGAGGCCTTGGACAAGGTCAGGATCATTCAGGTTAGGCTTCGTTCAGCTCAGTCCAGGCAAAAGAGCTACGCAGATCGTAAGGTTCGAGATGTAGCTTTCATGGTTGGTGAGCGGGTATTGCTCCGAGTGTCGCCTATGAAGGGCGTGATGAGATTTGGGAAGAAGGGCAAGCTTAGCCCTAGGTTCATTGGTCCAATTGAGATTCTTGACCGAGTGGAAGAGGTGGCTTATAGACTTGCATTGCCGCCTAGCTTATCAGCCGTGCATCCAGTTTTTCATGTATCCATGCTTCGGAGGTATCACGGCGATCCAGCCCACGTGTTAGATTTCAGGACTGTCCAGTTGGACAAGGATTTATCTTATGAGGAGGAGCCGGTAGCTATTCTAGACCGGCAGGTTCGTCAGTTGAGATCCAAGAGTTTCCCTTCTGTTCGTGTTCAGTGGAGAGGTCAGCCTCCTGAGGCATCGACCTGGGAGTCCAAGTCCAATATGCGGAGCTGCTATCCTCATCTTTTCCCCGACTCAGGTACTTCCTTCTTTTGTCCGTTCGAGGACGAACGGTTGTTTTAGAGGTGGAGAATGTGACGACCCAAAGGGTCATCACCTGTTTACTTACTCATTCCGTGCTTCCGAGGTCTTGAAAACCTTATTTGTAGTCGCCTCGATTTGCGTGCGCAGTTCGGGCGCATAGCCGGAAAGCTTAAATATGAAATTTCGTGTTAAATGCTAAAATTTGATATTAAAATGAGTAAATTTGACTCCGGTCAACATTTTGGGTAAACGGACCCGGACCCGTGATTTGACGGTCCCGGAGGGTCCATAGGAATATATGGGACTTGGGCGTATGCCCGGAATCGAATTCCGAGGTCCCAAGCCCGAGAAATAAATTTTTGAGTAAAATTGTTTTCTGAAAATATTTAAGGAAATTGGAAATGAAAATTGATTAGAACGTGTTGGTATCGGGCCCGTATTTTGGTTCCAGCGCCCGGTACAGGTCTTATATGTAATTTAAGATGTTTCTGTAAAGTTTGGTTGAAATCGGACGTCGTTTGACGTGTTTCAGACTTAAAACTCTAAATTTGAAAGTTTATGAAGTTTGAAGAAAAACTAGTGATTTTGAGGTTTGATTCATTATTTTTGATGTTATTTTGGCGATTTGATCGCACGGTTAAGTTCGTAAGATGTTGTTGAGTTAGTGTATGTGTTTGGTTAGGAGCCCGAGGGCTCGGGAGTGTTTTCGGGATTGTAAACTTAGGAGAAAATTCAGAAAATTCAGTTCTGGTGTTCTGGTATGTTTGTTTCTAATGCGATCGCAATAGGAGCATCCGCGATGCAATAGGTAGCTCAAGGTGCCCCGTCTTTGTTCCTAATGCGATCCAAGAATTTCATCCGGACGCGTACTAGCCCAATTCCTCAATGCCGAATTCGCATTCTCCTCTCCGCCAATCGCAAGAGTAATAAAGGCCAGCTTTTCATTATTTTCCTTCTTATGCGAATCGGTTGTTTATTGTCCGCGAATCGCAGTGCTCAAGAAACCTACTCTATGCCATCGCAAACCTTATGTACGCGATTGCAGTGAACACTCAGTGCCTTACCCTATTGCGGATCGGGCAATTCTTCCCAGCGATCGCGAGAACCAATAATTCGCCCAAGTTTATTTTTATTCCTTCAAAACAAAAAGAATTGGCAAAACGGGATTTTTAAACACTTTCCAAAACTCTTTCTCTCCAAAATTTTCTAGGGCGAACCATTAAGAAGCATCCTTTCCCCATTTAACTCGTGGGTTAGTAAATTTTAAACTTCGTTTCTCCATTTTCCAGTTTCAAAAATCTAATTGAATTTCCTAGGCCTAAAAAAAATGTCATTTAGGAAGAAAAAATTTGGGGAAAATGTGGTAGATGTAGGGCTTTTTGAATTTTCTTGATTTAAGCCCTCGTTGGGGGTCGAATTTGAAAAAACAAATTTAAATATCGGGCTCATGGTGAAAGGGGATATGGAACTGGGTTCCGAACCTGTGTTTTTGGACCAAGCAAAGGGCCCGAGGTCGATTTTTGGATTTTGGGGAAGGAATGCTTGGAACGTTAATAAGTTGGCTTGGGTTTGATTTGTTTAGGGCTTGTATGAATTGTATTTGAAGTCGCTAATGTATAGGATTTGATTGATTTTGGAGTCGACGGGGCGAGTTGGATATTGCCGGAGTTAGGTTAAAGCCCTAGGCTTGATGTGAATTTGAAGTTATTTGCTCTAATTGAGGCTCATGTTTGAAAGTACGAACCTATTGAGGCATGTGACGGAGTATGAGTCTTTATTGTGGTGTTTGGTTAGCATGCGCTAATTCTAATTTGATATTTGCTGGATCGGTTCTTTAAGTGTATATCTTGCCTTGTTATGAATTTTTCCTTGGTTTCTATTGTTGTGGAAAAAACCTTGTAGAGGAATTTTAACCTATGAAACATACGAGGACATTGGCTCAAGTCATAATTAACCAATTGGAAAACTGATATTAATGGGTGAACCTTTTGGAGCAATTGCTAAAGGGTAAGTGAAATATGAATGGAAAGAAGAAGGAAAAATTTTTAAATTTTCACCTTGCCGGGATATTGTTGTTTATTATCTCCTGCGGGATGTCAAGATTATGATTTGTACCTGGGGGATTTTGTTTGATTCCTTGCCGGGATTCCTTATTTTGGTTTATTCCTTGCCCTATTGTTGTTGATTGTTTGGTGTGAGGAAAGTTAAAGCCACAGTGATGCGTGGCAAATTTTGTTTAGGTAGAAGGTGTTAGCCGGAAGGGTTGCTAGGTTTGTTTATTGTGTGAGGAAAAGAGTGTAAGACCGAGGGTGATGGCCGCGTTGATTTATGTAGGAAAGAGTAAAGCCAGAGGGTGATGTCGTGCCGCCGATTACCATTCGCCATTCTATTTTATTAGTTGAGAAGAAGTATAGGAAACACAAGGTGATGCGTGCAACATTTTATTTATATCATTCTGGTAAAAGTGATGGAGAGTAAAGACTGGAAAGCGGTGATGTCGTGCACTTATTTGCCGTGTTATTGATTCTTATGCTTATAAGTTTCAAGTGCATTTAATGTTTCATTTCTTTTATATCTCTGTGATCTTCTGTGGAATTTCCCTTTAGTTACTTGTTTATTATTGAATTAAGGGTATCCTTGTGGGCAACGTTATGCTTGAATTTTATTGTCATTAATTGCTACCCATGTTTAATGTGGACTTAAATTTGCTACGACATTTCGACCATATTATAATACTAAATTCTTTTAATTTGCTTCCTTAAAGTCCATAATAATGCTTACTTGTCATTATTGTTTCCGCAGTGAATTCATAATTTATTGTTCTTTTGTCTTATTGGAATTCCGATATTATTGTTGCGTTTTTAGAGTAAATTCATGTTGGGAAGAACTAGTTGATTATAATGAATGGACGGGTGGTACGCCAACCAGAATTTGATTTGAAATTGGTAGCGGGTGGTACGCCTTATCAACGAACTATGAGGAAAAAGGTGGATCGGCACCGCCTCAAACGAATGTGTACAGACACGTGAAATCGCTTTTTTTTTCCTTAATCCGTTTGGAATAGGAATAAATTATTTGATGTTCCTATTATTCTCTTGAATTTTTGTATAAATCTGTTATCCCCTGAAGCATGTTCCTCCATTAATGGTCTTCTTGTTATTTTCCCTCTAGATATATAAATAACTGACAGTTTTATGTGGTACCGTTCTAGCCTCGTCACTAACTTCGCGGGTTAGCTAGGCACTTACCACACATGGAGTCGTTGTGCGATACTACACTCTGTGTCTTTGCACAGATCCAGGTACCGACAGCAATAGTAAGCTCGGGAGCGCCTTCAGGTCCTCCGAACACCGAGGTACCTTGCAGCGTCGCAGGCCCGGTGTCTCCTCTATCTATTATGTGTTCGTATCTCTGTATCGAGACAGAAAATGTTACTCTCTTTCAAACGGATGTAGCAGTTATCTTATAGTCCGTGAATGTTGTGACCCGTTCCTGGTAAGCATATTGGATCTTCCCTTATTTAT